ATATAGAGAAGACTGGGAAGCTATAATGGTAGGGCAGAGGAAACAATGCTAACATCGTATTTTAAAAGTGTGATAGTGCAGTTGCAATTCTAGCAAATAAAAGAACAGTATATTATTAGTTATTTAATTTCTTCTTGTATTTTTACTGCCAGGTAAGGCCCAGGACAGAAGCACTTAGAAGTTTTTCGACTTCAGGGGCCAAAATAACTTGGCTGGACTTGGATTCTGTATATCTTTTTTTAAAAAAAAAAGTATGATATATCATGTTATGAGTTTGGGGGAGGGGATGTAGGAATTCTAACCCCTGAATTCTTCTAATCCCTGGATCCAGGAAGTGTTAAAATATAAGCCAGGCTAGCTTCCTGGTGAGGCAATCACCTGGGTGATGGGCCATTAAGAGGAACAAAGGAAAGAGGATCTGCGTGAGACAGCAAATAGGTGGAGAGGCCCCCCAACTCGTGGATAGTTAGAAGGAAAAAGCCAGAGTTTAGAGTTTGGAGTGAGCAGCAAACTGGGAACTGAGAGAGACTGCTCTGATTTCTGTTCGAGTCCAGGGCCCTCTTTGGGTGTTAATGCTGTGAACCCCTCCATCGTAGTCTCAGGATACACAGTAGATATGTGTGAACAAACCATATATCCTAAAGACACCACAGTCTTCACTATGCCTCATTCCAAGGGAAACACAAACCCTGGGTAAGCACCTGGAATCTCCCACATTCAGAGATTGGGGTGACGTGCAACAGTATTTTTATTCTTTTCAACAAAACCAAACAGATCAAATGCTGTCACACAACAATGGTTCAGAGGTACACTTTCACTATCTTAGTCCTGATCTATTGCCGAAGTTGGCATAGCAGGTCACACACTATTTGAAAAGAGCTCTCTTTTTTAAGTTGTGTGTATTTCTCTCTATCTCACATACACACATATACACACACATGTGACTATCAGAGCTGGAACTTGCAGAGGTTCCATTTGCTGTTGTGCCTCAGGCAGAAAAAAGATATTGAAGAGGCCTTGCAGGAGGATGTAGGCCATCTAGTCTCTAAACTCAGGGCTGAGAGCCTCTTTTTGGAGATTTGTGCAGTGCTAAGTTAAACCCTGGCTGTAGCTTTACAGGTTACAAATCTCACTGGTGGCCAAACAACTGGCAAATACCATCAAGAACACTCTGTTATATCCTTCCCTCGACCTGGTGCCCTACAGATATTTTAGACTTCAACAGGAGTGGAGGAATCTGGTTGTGGACTACAACTCCCATCATCCCTGACCATTGGCTAGGCCTGACAGGAACAGGAGCCCTACAGCATCTGAAGGGCTACAGGTTCCCCATCCCTGGACTGCAAATTCCATCAACTCCAGGCAGCAAAGCCAATGTTTAGGGAAGATGGGAATTGTAGTCTAATTACATCTGGAGGGCACCAGGTTGGGAAAGACTGCTCTCTGACATTTGGCAGGCTTTGTTCTCCTGAGTCATACCTGGTGAGGTTTCTAAATTAGCACAGGCAGAAATGCTGTGCTTCTGAGGGAGGAAATGAGGCAATATTTACCCACCGCTGTGCCTTTGTGAAGTTCAGCTGGCAAAGGATAGATCTGCATTTGTGAAGTCCATTTCAGGTGGGAGGTCCCTTTGGAGCCTATTGGGATCTTGAAATAAAACCAATTAATATCTACCCAAGGGAGAGCTCCATACACAAAAGGAAAAGAGCAACCTCTCTCCTGGGGTTTTTACACCATCTGTCTTCCCACCAGATGCCAGCAAGAGGCAATGGGGAAAACAGACATGAAACATCCCCCTAATAGGTGCCAAACCCCCACAGGGAAAGGAGGGAAAATAACTCCACACACACATGTGGAGAGTGTTAAATAACTAATCAAAAGCTCTGTGAAGTGGCCACAGGCCACAAAGGGAAAGCCAATATGGCTTCTGGGCAGGATGTCTGGTGCCTCAGGGTTATTGGCAAAGAGAAGAGTTGGCCTCCAGGCCTTGTTAAAGCCATCATCTGTAGGAAGAAGCAAGGAATTGCCTTCTGACCTTAGATTTGTGCCCCCCTTTCTGTAGACACTCAGCTCAGTCCCCTACCCACTCCAAAGAATTATGGGAACTGCAGTTTCCTATGGGTGCTTGGAATTGTAGCTCTCTGAGAGTTCCCAAGATCCTTTGAGGGGAAAATGTTCTTTAAATGTACGGTGTGTTCGCAGTCTAAGAATCCGAGTTAGCAATGAGAAGCTGCTTCCCTGGCATATCTTGTTTATTCCCAGTCTATTCCCCCGCTCTCAATTTCCGTGTCTCTGTGTGTCCCTGTTTGCCTCCTCGTTTTCTGCCCCTGTCTGTCTCCTAGATCTCCAGCCGCCCCCGTCTGCCTGATTCTGCTTTCCCACTCCCTCCAGGATACGTGCCCCCCCCCCATCTCTGGGATTCCGTGGGTGCGCTTTTTATTCCATCCTCTGTTGCTTCTTCCTTCTTCTTCTCCTCCTCTCCCCCTACCCCCATCAGCTCAGTGGGGTCTGCAGCCAGCTCTCCTGTTGCTCAGAGATGAGGAGGCAGTTGCTAAGAGACAGTGAAACGTCAGTACCTGGCCCTCAAGGGGAAAAAAGAGGGGGGTGGCGGGAGAGGGAGAAGGAGGGAAGAGGAGGTGGGGAAAGACCTGGCTGAAATCAGAGAGAGAGAGAGAGAGAGAGAGAGCGCAACAGTAGCTGCAATTCAATGAGAAGACTGTCAGAATCTCTGTCTTTTAGAGGCGCAGATGAAAGAAAGGATGAAAGGAAGCAAGAAGCACAGTTGAATGGGAAGGAACCAGCACAGGAGTCCGCAGCTGAGCTGAGCTCCAACCAAAAAACAGCCACCCTCTGCTCAGAGTAAGTGTCTCCTTTGAACAAAATAAAATTGATGATGTGACGGGGGAGAAATGAAGAGGGGGTGCCTGTGTGCTGTGCGTCTGTGGGAAAACTAAGGCTTGGGTACTCCCTGCCTTGTGTGAGCAGGGTGTGTCCAGCGGGTGAGGATGGAGGGTGCATTTGACAATGGGGTGTCATGGAGAAGAGGCGATGGGTGGAAAGAGGACGTGGCAAGGATGAGTGGGGAGAGGGCAAATAGGATGTGAGCTCTGCAGGGCATCCAGGTCGTTCTTGCTGGAGGAGGAGGAGCAGGAGACAACAGAAAACAGACGGAGAGAGGGGAGAATGGCAGTGGAGAAGGAAGAAAGCTTTGGAAGGAGAGGGATGTGGGAAGAGAGAGGCAAGAATGGAAGCGTGGTCCAAGTTAGGGAAGAGCCTCTAGGAAGTCATGTGCAGAGACTCAGGGATGAAGGAGAGGGATGGTGAGGGATGCAGGGAAATCTGAAACGCAGGCCTAGTTCTCCCAACAGAATAAAATTCAAGTGGTGTGTTTGTGTGGAGGCCCAAAGCTCCTCCGCAGCTAATGGTGGAGGAAGGAGCTATGAGTTGCCTCTCAGCAGACCTCTGTGGATGAAAGGGTGGTGCCCTGCAGCCCAGCCTGGACTAGGAAAAGAGAATGTGGGTCATCTTGACTGAGGGACAATGACCAGTTTGTGTGAAATCCAGAGGGGAGCAAAAGTAGGAGTTAGTTGCAGAGATGAGATTTGTAAGGACTTCCCCAAAGTTGAATCTAGTATTTTAATCTGATCGCTTTGGCTTTTTTTTTTACATGAATTTACTCCTTTGCCAAATGAGCCATGCCAAAGCTCTCCCCCACCGCTTTTCTTCTCTGCACAAAAGTCTATGGCTGCAACATCAGAAACGCACAGAGGAGGAAGCTGTGTGGAGTCCCCAGAAATATGTCAGATCAGAAATGAGGGGCTGCTGTTGCGGCTTGTGAAAAATGCATGGTGGCTGATACTGTAAAGCGAGGTGAAGGAAGAGGTGAACTGTAGTGAAGGCAACCACAAGAAGTATATGAAAGGGGTGGGGAACTGTGGTTCTAGCAGCATCAGGGGGAAGCATGCAAGCTGATCAATACCATGGTTGCTGTGCCTTTGATCCTCACTGCGTTTTCATTGGCAGGTTGCACAGTCAGAGTCTTGTTGCTGCCTGCTGAGAAAGAAGACCAGGCTTAAAGGACAGCATCACAACCTCTTGCCCTTGGCCTTTGGGATCCTGTAGCCATTGTCACACATGGCTTCCACATCAGCACTTCAAAGTCAGAGACACCATGAATCCGTGAAGCAATGGGATTCTGTGGCTCTTTGGTAGTTCCAAACTGAGCGATGATGGTCAACCTTCTTTCCAGAGAAGAGAAACCACAGACTCCTAAGTGGCTTGTGTCCAGCCATTGTTCCTCCTCACCTTTCCAAGAGGGCCCCGCCTACACCAGGACAGCAGCACATGGGAAATTAAGCAAGGGGAGCCATTGAACCCTGCAAAAGTCACATTTTGTTTATAAATGCTCCTGTCAAAGGACACCTCAATGACTCCAGAAGAAGACCATTTCAATGCTCGACAAGTAGAGTCACTGGAAACAACATTTATGGGCCTGATTATGTATTTTTTTCTGGAGTGACAGAAAACTTCTCTGAGAGGCCTATGTCTCCAGCTAACACAAGGTAAAAAAAAAAGGAACACATTGTCTCTTAATTCAAGCTCAAGATATGTAATGTTCAACAAACATGGGTAAAAACCACCAGCTTTATTTACATAGATTATCTCCATAGACCAAGGTGGTCACATGTGCATGTATGCAGGTAAATGTATTTCTTTCCTCTTCTTCATCCTCTCACAGTAAAAAGTTTTTTTGGCAGCTAAATAAAACTACCAGAAATCATCAGCTTCTGGCCCATTTGCAGCCCTTTTTTGGCACATTGTTCTCCCATAGGTGCCTCAAGAGCAGGACAAATAGGGGTTCAATGTCCTCCCTTCCTCCCAGTCAGAATGTAGCAGGCTTTCTGTATTGGTGGCTCCCATTTGCTGGGCTGCATCCCTGCCCACTGCTCTCCCCATCCTGATTGGCCTTCCCTCTGCCATGTAGCCTCTAGCTTGCCAAAATGAACGCCCACTGTGTCCAGCTGGGAGGAGAGCAGCTTGCACCCCACTGCTGCCCTGCCATGATACTGAGCCCTTTCCTTGTGGCAGCGGTGGTGGTCTTTGCCAGTGCCGTCACCGGCTGCCCGGTCCTGTGCACATGCCGCAGCCAGGTTGTGGATTGCAGTGGGCTTCGGCTCTTTTCGGTGCCACCAGACCTTCCGTTGGACACCAGGAACCTGAGCCTGGCTCACAACCGCATCGCTACCATTCCTCCCGGATACCTGACCTGCTATTCCGAGCTGAGGGTGTTGGACTTGCGGAACAACTCCCTGGTTGAGTTGCCCGCTGGACTCTTTTTGGCATCCAAGCGCCTCTCCCACTTGGACTTGAGCTACAACAACTTGACCCACGTGGTGGCTGACATGTTCCAAGAGGCCTACAACCTGGTGCACATTGACTTGAGCCACAATCCCTGGCTGAGGAAGGTGCACCCCCAGGCTTTCCGAGGCTTGGTCCAACTGCGTGACCTTGATCTCAGCTATGGGGGCCTGTCTATCCTCAGCCTTGAAGTCCTGGAGGGTCTCACAGGCCTGGTGACTCTTCAGATTGGAGGCAATCCCTGGGTGTGTGGTTGCACCATGGAGCCACTGCTGAAGTGGTTGAGAAATAGGATCCAGCGATGCATGTCAGGTAGGTGAAATTACACGGCAGTCCAGTTGTTAGCTTCACCTTGGGGATTTCTGTCATTCTGTTCCCTATTACACAACACATTGTGAACCTCTGGGTAAAATGTTGGCTCTCTGTCTCAGCTTGAAATAAAAGCAGCAGTTCTCTCAGAGCGGCTAAGAAGGGCATTTTTGGATCATGGGATTTGAATCCTGTGCCTTGAGTAAGGCATTCTGCATTTGCCTACCTGATTTAGACCGGCTATGCTAGGAAACAGTCTGTTTTACACAGTTTCCTAGGGATTATAAACCACACAATGCAAAAAAAAGTTTAGAGACAGTTGTAAGTTTCCCCAACCATGCAGCATTTGTGTGTGTGAATTCATTAGATTTTGGTACTTTGCTGCATCTGTAGTTGCAGTTAGCGAAAACTGCTATACAGAAATTCAAATAAAGTACTTGGTTAACTAAATAGGTCACTACTCTCTTCCAAATGGCCTGTTAAAGTTACTAATCAGAATTGCTCTACTAGAACTATTAGGCAGAGCAGGGAGGTGCTCTCCTTCTCCTAGAATATGAGTCAGGGTAAGAACATCTGGCCACTTCAGGGCTGAGCAGAAATTGCCTCTGAAACAGACAAGGCTTGTTCACACTTCGGCTTGTCCCATGCCTAGAAAGCATGAGTCCAAGTGATTTTCCACTAGAACCACCCTTTCTAGGCATAGGTCTGAGCAGTTTCCCCCTTGCCCCTCTCCTTTCCCAGGGAAAACCTGCTCTTTGGCTTTAAATCAGAACCATGGAAAACCCCTTTGCTCCAACTGAGCATTAAAGAGCACCATGGGAAGAGCAAGAGGAAGTGTGGATAAGCCTTGACTGAAGGAAGCAGGGTTTTCCTTTCTCCTACTCTTTTCTGACTGTCTGGGTGATAGCTTTCTAACAACTGGCATCAAAGGACTGTCACAGGGTCAGGATAGTGTAAGTGTGGATTATAAACATAGTCACTGGTCAGCACTGTGAGGGGACAAGGGATTCCCTAGTTTCGCCGCTCACGACTTTGGGACATGGAAGCTGGAAAAGAGCCCCCCTGGACCTTGCATGCATGCAGAGTCCTGGGGTTTGGGGTAGTTACTCAGGGGAGTCTCCCACGACCCCTAATGGCATCGCCAGATGGAGGAGAGGCAGGCAGAAAATGCCGGGAAGCTCTGCCTCAGCCAGTTCCCATTGCCGATGTCCTTCTGTTAATGTTAATAAAGTTTGGGGCCTAGTTTATCCACACGCATCTGCCTCGCTTTTTTATTATTTATGGGACAAAGGTGGGGCAAAGAAGCAGGTGCAGCATGGCGGCTGCTAAAAAGTCCTGTGGCAGCTCTAACCGCACACACAAAAAGGCCAGAACCTCATCACACACAACCCAACTCTTCATATCCACTGATTTCCAAGAGCACAATGAGGATCACCTCCCCATGTGGCTAGAGGCAACAGCCGACTGGCCCTCTGTGAGGTTAGATCCAGGGTGGATAAAAATCAATATTTTTTTTAATAAAAAAAATCAGGTTTTTAAAATTTAAATCGGATTTTAAAAAAATTTAAATCACATTTATTTCTTTTTTTAAATTTGATTTTTAAAATAAAATGCTTTTTGGCGGAAAAATCTTTCTGAAGATAGGTTTCTACTCAGTCTAAGCCTTTTTTTAAAAAAACTTAATCACATCAGTTAACAAACATGGATGCATATGCTATAATGTTATTGTTTTAGCTAAATAAATTGTTTAAGTTGTTATTAAGGAAATGATTATTTTTCTCCTTCTGATAAAGTACAGCAGAAAAGTTGTCCAAATATAAACAGTTAACATATTAAAACTCACAATAATTTCATAATTATCAGTCTGTGTATTTCTAAGAGTATAACCAAATCAGGAATTTTTGATATAACTGTAAAAACTACTCTGAAAAATTATTATTCCAAAAATGAAACCTTCATCTGGTTGTAAATATTAAGATTATACCAGCAAGAATGAGTCTTTCTGTAAAAAAAATTGATTTAAATCAAGTCTTACTGACTCGTGATTTAAATCATGATTTAAATTGATTTGATTTAAATCAAATCCACCCTGGTTAGATCCATTGCACAGAGAGTTTTTAAGGAGCAAGGAGACAGATGAATGAGCCCTTCGGTACCTGGAGGCTGGCAGTGGCAATGCTCACTTCACCATATAATTGAAGGCCACTGAAAACCAGATTTCCACACAATGATGCCACCATGTGTGGAGCTGCCTAGTGACTGCCACCATGCTGCAAATGGCCTTTCAGAAGCACACCGAGGCTTTCTGCTCATTAAAGCCGAGATTTTGTCAGAGCTAGGTGGGAATGAGATGTGCTGTACAAGCTGCCCTTGTGACGTGTCGTCACACTGCTCTGCTCTCCCTGCGTCCTTGTAGTGACAGATCCCCAGCTCGCATTGGGAATCATAAATCAGCATCCTCTCCCACTCTCTATTGATTTTTTTCTCCCCTCCCTGACATTAGTCCTTTCCTGACCTTCTTGCTTATCTCACGAGCTGCAAGCGAGGGGACCTGGAGACAGGAAATCCTGCCCTTGCGGAGCCAGAAGAAGGCAGTCCTGCTTTAGCAATCATTCTCATCTCCTTGGAGCATCAATTCTATTTACATTTCCCAGCCATCTCTGTGATTGATGTATAGCAGACAATGACGGAGAAGGATGCCATCCATCTCCAGCTTTGGCAGTGATGCACGGGGTGGCTGTTGGTTTTCTGATTCGGTGCCCTCATCCAATTTATTTGTAGTGATGTCTTCTTAGCAAACACAAGCAGAGAGGAAGATTATCTGTCTTGTGCACCTTCTTATAGTTTCTTAGGATGACAAGTCTAAACTTCCCAGTGAGTTTTCATTAGTGCTTAACATTCAGGTAGTGGTTACCCTCTGCAAAGCTTGGTTCCGCTAGTCCAAACTGACTCTTTGCTGCTGAATCAGAGCAAACTTCAGTTGGCTTTTTCAAGGATTGACTAATTGCCTGCAGACAGCAAAGGCGCAGGCAGGCAGATGGAGCCTGAGAAAGTTCTGACAAAGTACCTTCTTGGGCTCCACCTATCTGCACCTTTGAGGAAGCCCCACACCACTTCAGCTAATGCGAGCCAGAGTGGTATTGGGGGGTGGGAGACTTCCTGTCCCCCAGCTGAGCAGTTCAGCGAAGCCTCTCTGCCCTTCTGACTCTCCTGAGCCAGAGTGGTATGGAGGCTTGCTCAGTAGAGCTGGGCAATATATCTTGGTTTCCCAAAGGTGGGGAGGAAGAAGCAGCTGAGAAACATTCCAGACATTGTGATATATCATTATATTGCAGTACAGTAATACCTTGGATCTCAAACACCTTGGCTCCCTAACAAATCGGACCCCGGACGATGGAAACTCAGAAGTGAGTGTTCCGGTTTTTGAATGTTCTTTAGGAAGCCGAATGTCAGACAGGGCTTCCATGGCTTCTGATTGGCTGCAGGAGCTTCCTGCAGCCGATCAGAAGCCATACTTTGGTTTCCAAACATTTTGGAAGTCAAATGGACTTCCGGAACGGATTCCATTTGACTTTCAAGGAACGGCTATATTTAGCTGCTGAAAACCAGATATCGCCTAGCCCTACTCCCCACCAGATACACACATGTAGGACCAATCTATGCTGGTGAGTTATAATGTTATAAATGTGTTATAAAATGTGACACCAGGGGGCGCTGTACAGCAGTCAATGGAAAATTGCATTGAGAGCTATATAACGTTTTTTCCTGGTGTTTTTTTAGATCAGTGTAGATCCAGTCGTAGTCTCTCTGAACAAAGAAACATTGTATATCAGGGAGAATATCAGTGTGCAGTCCTTCTCCCTGGCATTCTAGTTGTCTATGAGCAAGGAGGATTTTGTTTTTGTTTTGCTTTTTCCTGATGGGGGGGGCATTCAGAAATGAGACACACACACCTCTCCCGTCTGGCATGTTATAAGCCATGGAAAAAAAGCTTCACAGTGTGATTCTACTGCAGGTGTAAATTGGTTTTCTTGCAGCAACTTTCTCCAACCTGGTGCTCTCTGAAAGTTTTGGATTATGGCTTCCTAGCATCCTCAACCAGAACAGAGGTCACTAAGATGCAGAAGGCTGTCTTATAGTCTGTGTTACAAATTAGAATGAGATGTGGGTAGAGATCATAGACTGGTGATGGGGTAGAAGAAAGAAAATTGAAGAATGGTTAAGGTGAGCCCAGTTGTTGTTATTTCTTGAAAGCATCTACCTAATTTAATCTGGTGTGTGATACAATCCCTAATAGTTCTGTTCTACTTCCCCTGTCAGGGGCAATGATGCTTCTGAATACCAGTTAATCATCATCATCAGTAATAAGGGGGGGCTGGGAGTATCTTCAGCGGTAGAGAAGAAGAGGTACTTGCACACATATGGGGTGGAATAGCAAACAACACTGAAACTGGGGTATTAAAAAGAGACTAAAGTAGCTGTTTGTATCTGTCAGGGGGTAATGTGAATTGAGAGGTTACTGTGCATAACAACCACTCATTGTGCACATTTACCAGACCTCATGGAAAATGTGCATTTAATCTCTCCATGAATGGATAGTTGTACACATTTCCTGGTCAATGTGCATAATCTCCTGTAGGTCTTGGAGAGTGTGCATATATTGACTGAATTTTGCACAATCTCTGGCTGTTGTTGTTACTCTCATTGTGCATAATCTCCCAACCGACCATGGGGATAGCTGTGTTTTGATTTACCTATTGTTTCAGGAATTCCACACTGAATTCATCCTGCATCCCTAATTACAGCTAGAAATCTGGGTGTTCATAGAACATACCTTGTCATGAAAACGTTAGAGAATTTATTGCCACCTGCCTCTTGGTTCTGAAGAGCCATTGGTAGAGCATCTGCTTTGCATTCTTTGCACGTAGGACTATGATTGTCCCCTGCTTCACAAAACCCTGGAGAGCTGTTGCCTGTCAGTTTTGACATCATGGAACTAGATGGGTCAAGGATCTAACTTCCTATCTTCCTGTAGGCAGCTTCCTAGACCAGAGAGGCATGGGTTGGGAAAGGAGGAGAAATGGCCCTCTTCTCTGGGTGTTGCTCTGTGTTTGTGGGTGCTGGCATGACCCTCTTGGTTCTTGTTGCAGATACTGAGTTGGCGGAGTGCCGGGAGCCACCCGAAGTGGAAGGAGCCCCTTTGTTTTCACTGACGGAGGAGAGCTTCAAGGCCTGCCACCTGACCTTGACACTGGATGACTATCTCTTCATTGCCTTTGTGGGCTTTGTCGTCTCCATTGCTTCTGTGGCCACCAATTTCCTGCTGGGCATCACTGCCAATTGCTGCCACCGCTGGAGCAAGGCGAGTGAGGATGAGGAGATGTAGCCACACGTCCTGCTCCTTCCTGCTGCTCCTGCGCCATCCACTGCCAGGGGGGAGCCAAGGGCTATCAAGTTCAGGGAAAGTGAAGTGACTTGTCTTTTCCCTGGTGTGCCATTTCCTTGGGCCTACCCCCCAACCACCAACCCCTGTACAAGAGCAGCAGACTGCCGCTCACCAATTTTTCTGAGGGCTCATTCAGACTTCCTTTCATGCTGTGCTTCTAGACACAATCCACACTTGAAAGAGCTGTGTCCAAGTGCTCCCACCACTGAAAACCCGCTCTGAACCAGAACAAATGGCAATCTGTGGAAAATCTGTATTGCCAATTCAGGCAACCAACCAACCGAGTTATCCAGCCTGTGCTTGAAGAGCAGATTTTCAGAGGGGAGGGGGGAAAGTGCTTGGACATGGCACTCTAAAGTGCAGACCTATGCCTAGAAAGCACAGGGTGAAAGGTAAGTGTGACTGAGCCCTTACTAGGTATAGGGGATGGGGCCAGCCAGGGTAGGGAGATTGAAGTGTGCCTTGTACAATCCTCTTCGCACTGGAAACAGCCAGCAAGCCATGTCCTGGAAAACGACCGAAAGACATTGATAGACACTCGAACCATTCGCCATCCTTTGCTTTCCTCATCTCTCATGCATTGTTGCACCTTTCTCAGTCAATGCCTTGAATGCACGGCTGTAGCATAAACACACTTTTGCACATGCACATCACACTGACTGGCCTGGAAAAATCAAAGGTTTCCTCTTTGGAGGTCTGAAGCGCTCTGTTTCTCGAACCATCCCATCCCATCATTGCATACATTCTTTCCCAAGCATGAAAGAACTGTGTTTTTAAAACCATTCTTAACAAGTCCCAGTGGCACAGTCTCTCAATCTGTTCTTATTTGCAGCAGTGCCATCAAGCTCCCCAAGCAGATTTTGGAGACCCCAAAAAATATGAGGGCCAGAGAATCCACCTCGGATAAAACTACTTTCCAATCCTACTGCTAATCATTTAGCATAGATGGTGCTACGATTGATACAAGTGTCTCCTGCTTTTGTGACTGGCTCCTTGAAAGCTGTATATGCCTTTTGGTTTAGGTGGCCTTTCATGGAGTCCTTCCCCTGAGAAGAATCTCCCTCTATAGGTGGCCCACAGAGAATCACTATATCACAGGAGGGGAAACCTTAAAACAAGTTCCCTTGCCAGTAGTGTTTAGCTCAGAAGGGAGGAGACAGTGCACAGTCTAGCCAAGTTGGTCTGAAGTGTACATGGCTGAGGTTAGACCGAGGCTATAGACCGGAGCCGATGATATTGGCAGACTCCCTTTGAAATTAACCATGAATGGAAAAAATATAGGCTACAAAGGGGAAACCCAAAGCTGCCAATGCTAAAACTTTTCTGGAGAAAGATGTTTTTAATGGGGATAATGTGGTAAGATCTTGCCCAAGGAGTGAAGGGCTGCCTTGTTTTTTGAAACATGTAGGGATATGATATATTATGGTTTGCAAATCCTCCCTAGTATCTGCAGCTTTGTTTTTCTTCAGAACTGTTTTAGACTAATTTGGCGAGGGTGCCAAACATTCCTGGTTGCAGATTCCTATTACCCCAGAAGGAATGAGTGTTCAAGCACTTTAAGGGTGCTTCCAGACTTGTTTCTTGAACATTTGTCCTTCCTAATTTGTTTGCAGGGAGATTAGATGCCGCTGGCAATTTATTCATCCTGATTTGTTCGCAAGGAGGTTAGACAACGTTGTAACATAACAAAGCAAATGTTACATGCACCAATGCACTTTCCTGTCACTTATGGGGGGGGAGCAAATCCAGTCGACTAGAATTGTGCAACCTGAATTTGCCAGTATGTGATTGAATCCCACCCTAAAATAGCAGCATGTTTGTCCCTGGTTTGAGAGTTCTTGTTTTGTTGTTGCACTCAAAGCTCGGGCAGCAGGTGGTGCTACAAGTCAGGGCTGAAAGCAGCGAGGCACAGTCCAAGTGAGGGGGAGCTTGGAAGGACTTGTGAAGCTTAGTTCTGCTGGAGACTGCTTGTTTCTCTTGATCACAACCAACTATCCTGGAGGGAAGAAAGTTTGCATTGGAAGGGAAGGTGACTCTGGCCAAAGCCATCTGATTCTCACGGCCCTTTGCTGTCTCCATTCATTCAGCATCCCCCAGAACATTTTCATCTGCCATCATCCTTGCAAAGCCACCAAGGCGCGAGCAAGGGGGCAAATTCATATGGGAGTATAAAAAGAGGCATTTCCCAGGTCACATAGGAAGCCTATGTCAGGGGCGGGATTCAAATTGAATTCATCTCAACTTCAACCATTACATACACAGTCTGCAGTCTGCAAATCCGGCTCCTATAAATCGGTCTGAAGACCAGTCGAATGCAGCCAAGGTCCTTCATCGATGACTGCGCATCATTGTTCCCATCCAGACTCGCCGTGCCAAGGCTCACAGCAACAAAGCCGGACATGAGGATTCCGATGCCTAGCTGGCGTGTTAAACTATAAGACCACAGCCAATGTTCCCTGCTGGGGAACCACCTTATAAAGCCTATAACTATCTCTTAGAGATTTCTGTGTGCGCTGAGCATAGCTAACGTATTTTGAAACTTGTACTTTTTTTAGGTTTTGCATAGAAATAGGACCAAACAAGATACTGAACGCTGCAGGGATGGGGGGATTGGAGAGAGGAGGGTGGGAGGACAGAGCACTTCCACTGTTCTCACCCAGTCTCACCCAAATCAGGAAGACAGCAGGTAAAACTGTCCTTAAAGGGCAGGATCTTTTCAGAGTGCACTCACATAACCATCATTTCTTCATGTGCCATGCTAGGATCTTTCCCCCTCAAACACTCCATGGTGAGATCAGCTTGGAGTTGAGTGTTTTCACCAACCGCAGCTGACCTTTTCATTCTTTAGGGTGAGGCAACCTGCATCAGGCAGAGGATGTCAGGCAGCAAGTTGTCAATCATTTATATGGATGGTGATGATCAATTTGACCACGAGGGAAGCACTTCAGTGTTCAGCTTCAGACATCAGAACGTGTTGGACTATCTCTGACACTGTTATAGATTCAGGAAACCTAAGAAATCGTCACATGCCCTTCACAAAAATCACATTTTCACACTGATCTCACTACCAAGTGATGGGGAGCACTGTGACGGGGGGGTGATATCAAATGACCCTAAATGTTTGCCTTTATGTGATTTTCAGGATCTGGAAACCGGTTTATTCAGGGCTAAATTCTGATAGGCCTTCATTTGCAAGCTAGAATTGCATTATTGTTCCCATACCCTGTAGTGAATTGCCTGTATTTAGCTGTCATGAACTGCAGAGGACTATTTCAAGGTGTGCTTAAGGATCTCAGCCCCACTGCAGTTTTTTATTGGTATTGGCTTGGTTGTCCCTCTGATGGCCACACTGAGAAAATGGGCTTTCACTCTAGAGTTGCAGAAAATAGAACAACATCCGCAGACAGCCATGGCTAAGAGCAGCTCTCAGTTTCATACTGAAAGTTCATGCCACCCTAGTGAAAAAAATATTTGGAGATCTTTCCAACAGAAAAAAAGCAACATACGTCTGCTCAAGTTAAAAACTACTACTACTACTACTCCATAGAATGGCATCTGGTACTTCTTTTTTCTATTATGTATATTGAGAATAATGTCTGCTGGCCTGTGATAAGTAGGTTCCTCTCTTTCTTGTAGTTTTGCACAGCAATGCAAAACAGTAGATCTCATTTATCCCAGCAAGACTGACTTGATTTTTGTCCAATCTTTCCAAAACTCATTAAAATAACAAGCATCATTTATACAGCAGGATGTCTTTCAGGCTGCGTCTTGGTTTTTGATTGCATTGACATAGTTGGTTCCTGTTTAAAGAGGATCAATGTGGTAAACCAGAGAGAGAGAGAGAGATCATAATCCAGCACTTGTTTGGGGGAAGTCAGGGGCTGGCAATGACCAAAAGGTCGTTTTGATAACCTGAGCAGTAGTTCAGTTAGTGAGTTCAGCTAGTGAGAAGGAGGTCATATGATTGTCCATGACACACTCACGTCACGCCTCCACCCACATTTACTGTCCCATTGCATAGTCACTAAAAGTGGGTCAGGTGCGGAGCAATAAATGTTGGTCCCAGCACAGATCCTCATGTCCATCTGCATCAAGCAAAATGTCCCAGATATAGAGCAGGAACCAACATCAATTCACAACCTTTTGCAATTCAGCTCACACGGGGCAGTTATGTAATCAGTGTGGAGCTGACCAGCAGCTCTTTGCTGGCGTAGGCATAGCTGTATGAGAATATATTTTCTGGAAAGAAACCTATTTTGATACCCTGATCCCAGAGGCTGGGAATCTACTTCCCAGGTCTGCTTCTAAATTAAAGATGTGAGTACTTTTTTGTGTCAAGTCTGGATCTGAGAAAAGGGGGTGGTGGAATCAATTAGTGCAGAAATATACAAGGAGAATAAGCTTTGCCATGCCTTCTGAGCTAGTTTCATGTATTATCCTTCTCTCTTTGCATTCAGCATATTTCTTCAGACACAGGGATCATTGCAAGATGATTTTGTGTTTTTTAGATATCCAGCAAAAAGCAGCAACTGAGCATTTACATATCCTAATTGAGTGCGACATAAATGCTTCTGCTTGTAAGCTGAGCACATTTTGCTGGTGCATCTCTTAAGGCTGGCTTCCCTCAAATTGGTGCTAAAGAGCGGGTTTTCTAGGGGAAACCAGTAGGGTAAAAGCAAAACTGCCTAGAAAGGATCCAAGCATTGAAAGCACAGGACAACTGCTTGCTCAGGTGCTTTCTGGGCCCAGGACAAACAGGAGCTTGGATAAGCCCAGTGCCTTACTAACACATGCTGTCTTCTCTCTTTTCTCCAAATATTTCACTTTTTGCTTTTGAAAGATTTGAGAATGTCATGAGACATAAAGTTGTCAAATAAAAAAAAAATCCAAAAGCATAACAGCCCACTTCAGAATTGCAGCATCTCATCCATAAATATAGT